GGTGGCGCGTGCTACTCGCGCTCTCTCGCGTTGCTTGCGAAGTCTTTCTTCTATTGCTTCACGTGATTCTCGAGCGCGTGATCGCTGAACTGCTAACCAATTGCGCTCGCGCCGCTCTTCGCCACTGATAACCATATTGATATCTGCAACCGTGAAGGTCCTCAAAGTGACACCAAGTACTAACGCAAATCAATCTCGACCGCTGTTAAAAAAATGACCATAGTTTGACAATTGTAAGTTGAAGTAGCTAAGTCGATCAAATTCGACAATGCAACTAGTCGCAAAACTTACAGCACCGGTGTTATTTATGCTATGGTATCTTAATAAATACCCACTGACAGACGACGCTGATAACCTATAGACACGATGACTACGTATTAATCAACTAAACACATCATCTCTCTTTGAATAGAAAACGATCGATGGTGAGCTGCACCATTCGTTTCTTTGTCGGAGCTTCAACACACGCTTGTTGTTCAGCTGATTGGTTCCTCTTCCGCACACCGATGACACCTCTACAACTTGGAGAGCCGCAGAAACATTCCACAACATGCTATAACATTTATTGTCAGCGAGGATAAACACAAAAAAAATCTGCAAATTTTTACACACCCCAGAGTCAAAGTACTGAAACCCATAATCAAACGTGAGTTCCTTGCCAGGATCAACTTAGCATATCGTGAATTACCCACATCGCTTTTGACCGCGAGCATTGCACTTCTCCATTCAACAGTTTGGCTCGCAACTGTGATTCATAAATCGCATACAGCCTCCGAATCGTGTAACGTCGATAATCATGTTAGCATTCACTTGAACCATGTCGATATGCTCGGAATTTCGATAGAGCTATATACCACACATCAAAATATTAACTGAGGCCAAGACATAACTATAATGACACACCTGAGAGCGTAACTTGGCTTCGCTGATGTTCAATACTTCACCCACATATTCACCAACGAATTGTCCAGAATTGATCCCTTCCTGTTGAAGTAGCCTCTAAACAGTTTGATTACCTTGACCTAGTCACTCCAAAATATTATAATGAGATTTAGGAGGTCCTGTTTAAGTCGGTATGACTGGCTTAAACTATACAGACACTAATGGCTGGTGTACAGCTATTGGTGGCTTCCTAATATTAATAAAGTACTCACTTC